ATATATATATAATTAGCCTGGGAACATGTCTTTTTCATTTCTTATGCAGTAGAAACAATATTTTTGTCTCCTATGTAAGTCAAGAAGTATTAACATGTCCACAGTGATGCTATGCTAGTTGTTGCTTAATCCGTGCAGGCCAAATAATACATTATCGATATGTTCTCATATTATGAATTTTTGCTCCAGTCCTTATTCAATCCTTTTTGAAATGCGAGAATGATTTGTTACCAAACTGGTCCTATTTTTTATAAGCATTTGTTTTGGATTTTTGTGTTAATGAACATGAGGTAATTCCTGTTAAACACTAAATAGGTTCTTTTTTAAAAAAAAATAGAAAAATTGCAACATGTTTTGATGATGTTAAAATTTCGACTGACTGATCACAAGCAGCCCTTTTAATGGATTTTGGGATTTGTAACTTTGAGCTTGTATAGAAGATATCAGTTTCTCAGAGTGATATTGAAAAACCAGGAAGAGTTAATTCCAGATATAAAGTTTCTTGGTTTTCGATCTGTAAGCTGAATGAATTATAAGCAATGATTGATTACGTTTAATTCATGATTCATGGTTGTTGCTGGTCATTAAATCCTTTTCTTTTTCTCCTTTGATAATTGTGGACTTTGTTCAGTTTCCATTTAACGAGATCTTATCACAGTGTCAGGTGCTCTCAATCCAGTGGAAATGGTAATCCGATAAAGAGAACAACTCTTCATGATCTCTACGAAAGGGAGGGGCAGAGTCCGTGGTATGACAACCTCTGCAGGCCTGTGACAGATCTGATTCCTCTGATCGAGAGTGGAGTTAGAGGTGTCACTAGCAACCCAGCGGTAATAATTTTTACTACCTTTTTTTAAAAAAAAAAAAATTGCAAAACTTGTCTAACCTGCTCAAAACTATGACTTTCTTCGAGTTAAGTTGAAGAAAGTTCAGTGGATGAAATGGAAAAGAAAATGTTAATAAGAAAGTGTATCCTCAACAATTCTTTTTTTCTTTTTTTCATTAGCCTCGGTCCCTGTTTAACAAGCTGTTTAAAACGTATGATTGCAGATTTTCCAGAAAGCAATATCATCTTCAAATGCTTACAATGACCAATTCAGGTAAATCCAATCATACAATTTAAGTAGTTTTATCATGATTTTAGTTATTATTCAGAATTAGTTACATCATTCTTTTCTGGTATATGATGTATATGAAATTTATTTAATATGCCAAGAAGGGAAAAACAAAAAGAAGTTCACATATCTCTTCTAAATCTGCCAATTATTGCAGATTATTGGGGTTTGAAAGTTGGATGTTGGCCTTCCAAGTCAGAATTTTAAGATTGTCAAGCTGATTGTTACAGTCTTCATATTTTTCTACTCTGATTTTAGACTATTGGTACCTCCAGGGAACTTGTGCAATCAGGAAAAGACATTGAAACTGCTTACTGGGAACTTGTGGTGAAGGACATACAAGATGCATGCAAACTTTTTGAGCCAATATATGATCAAACAGATGGTGGTGATGGCTATGTTTCTGTTGAAGTGTCTCCCAGACTAGCTGATGACACTAAGGGGACTGTTGAGGCTGCAAAGTGGCTTCATAAAGTGGTTGATCGCCCCAATGTGTACATTAAAATTCCCGCTACTGCTCCTTGCGTCCCCTCAATCAAGGAAGTTATTTCTCTTGGCATAAGTGTCAACGTGACTGTAAGTTTTTTCTGTGCAGTTTTTCTTGGCTTAGGCATCATGGTTGGTTGATGATTTTGTCACTGTAAATGATGTTCACATAAAGATTCTTCTTCCATGGTCATATACTGATGAAGTGATCTTAATAACCTGCTGGCTGTACTCATGGTTAAACCAAGTTTGGGAAAAGCAATCTTGAATGATTATGTAGTTTTAACAAGTGGATCTTTTATTAAATCAGAGGATAACTCGTCCTTTTTCGTCCTTGCAGCTGATCTTCTCTCTTGCCCGATACGAAGCAGTCATTGATGCCTACTTGGATGGCCTTGAGGCATCTGGACTAAGTGACCTCTCCAGAGTTACAAGTGTTGCTTCCTTCTTTGTCAGTAGGGTGGACACTCTCGTTGACAAAATGCTAGAAAAGATTGGAACCCCAGAAGCCCTTGACCTACGAGGAAAGGTACCTGGCTTTGAACTCTTGTTCTTGTATAGCAATAATTCTCATTATATTCTAGTGAATTTATAACTTAGTTTGTAAAGTTTCATTATTAATGTGACTGAATGTGTACTGTTTTAGGCTGCTGTCGCTCAAGCTGCCCTGGCATACAAGCTCTACCAAAAGAAATTCTCTGGTCCAAGATGGGAGGCTTTGGTGAAGAAAGGTGCTAAGAAGCAGAGGTTGCTGTGGGCATCAACCAGTGTGAAGAACCCTGCCTACCCAGACACTTTATATGTTGCTCCCCTCATTGGACCGGACACAGTAAGCCATCTTAGATATTAGAACACTGTCTCTTGGATTTTATGTTTGCTGTTTATGAAATTTCTTGAATGCAATGATTTCAAGTTCGCGAGGCATATTCACAGTTTGAACTGTAATTTATTGTTTAATGTTTCCCCTTGTGTGATTTTTCTTATGGTAGGTCTCAACCATGCCTGACCAAGCTCTCCAAGCTTTTATTGATCATGGAAGTGTTGCAAGGACAATCGACTCAAATGTTTCTGAAGCTGAAGGAATTTACAATGCACTTGAGAAGTTGGGAATTGATTGGGGCTATGTGGGCGATCAGCTTGAAGTTGAAGGAGTGGATTCTTTCAAGAAGAGCTTCGATAGTCTCCTTGATACCCTGCAAGAGAAGGCAAATTCTCTGAAACTAGTTAGTCTCTAAGCGTTTATGATTTGCTTTTTAGTATGAATTGAATGTAATAAAATGGGTATCAATCTTGTCGTAGTAAAAGCCCATTGGTGAGTGTTTTGTAACAAGTTAATTATGTATCATAAGATTCTGATTATGCCAAGAGATTTTTATCTGCCGTTGCTTTGGTCTTCATGTATGGCAATGCGGTTGGACTAGCATAAATCTTAGGTCGCTAGCATATAAAATTGATCACGCAACCGGAAGATTATTGGAATTAGGGTGAAAAGTATCGCAGCTTGCGCCTTGTGGTCATGACCAACATTCCAAACCTACAACTTAATCATCTAGTTGACAAGTAATACGTGTAATATAGAAATTGGCCGAAGTGTGCAAAGCCAAAATTTTCTATAGCTTCTTAGGCCAAGAGTTCTATTGTCAATTGAGATGGTTTTAGGCTGTGTTTGTTTGAAGAAAAATAAGTTCTAGGAATTAGTTTTATTTATTTTTTAGTGTTTATTTCCCGTTTAGGAAAAAAGTCAACGAAAAATGTTTTTCAGTTAATGGAAAATGATAGAGTATTTTTAGGAAAATGGTTTCCTAGTTTGAAAAGAGGAAAATATTTTTCTTTTCACTGAATCGTCTTGCTCTCGTATTATTTACTTCTCTCTTGATATATTTTAATAATTTTTTCTCTATTTTTTTATTTAAAATATATCAAATTAATTTTCAATTATTCCTTATCAATTATTATTTATTATTTAATTATTTTTCTCTATTTTTACTAATATTTGATTTTTTGATTTATAGATACATTAAATATTCTTAAAATCATTTTTACACCTTAAGATATTTTAAACACCACTTACACTATACTTAAATGATTGAAAATGATTATTACAAGACTATATTTTTTTGTAAAAAAATTGAAATTAATTAATTCATTAATAAATATATTATTTTTTCAAAACTATTCATTTGCAACTAAATCAATAATTTATAATTTTAATCAGTTATAAATTTTTGTTAGTAATTGTAGTGAATAATTAGTTACAAATTATTTCAGCATTAATCTTTTGAAATCAAATGAATAATTATCTATAAATAATAACTAATAATTTATAAAATTATTTTTAGACTAAATTATCAGTTCAATTTCTAAAAAAAAAAAAAGTATTCTTAATTGAGTTACCAAAATAACAATGCTAGGATTACTTAGAATTTTTTTTTTTTTACTAAATGTGAATATTGACTTGATTTTGTTCCAAGTAATTTTGATGAATTGGTTTGATGGTTAAAAAAATACATTTTATTTTTTTGAATTAAAATTTTAGAGTTAATATTTATAAAAATTTATTAAATTTTTCTAAATTATCTTATATTATGAAATTATGAATATGTCTTTTTGAAGTTTTCTCAAAACTAGTTAATATAATAATCATATACTCGTTTTTGTATTTTAATTTTCCGTATCAAACAAACGTTGAAATATATTTTTCAACAGTTTTTTTATATAAGTGCTAAATAGCAGAAAATATTTTTTTAAAAATAATTTCTTAAAAAATAACTTTCTTAAAAATTAATTTTTCTATAAAAGTTATTTTTCGTTAAACAAACGAGCCTCAGGTTCTTTCTACCTATTTTATTTTTATAGGAAGACCTGAATCCTTCGACTCTTATTTGCTGATAAAAGCGAAAGTTGCTTATTTGCGTCAATTTTTTTACTGGTTTAGAAGTTAGAACTATCGGGGGTCCCTAGTCGTCTAATATTAAATTGCAATATATATAATTTTCAATCGGTTAAAATCCACCATTCTGTGACCATTTCCCATTATTTTTACGCTAAGTTTCCACAAGTACAATAAAGTTCCGTAGTGTAGGTAGAGGGGTTGATAGCCTCAAATGTAGCTTGCTTTTCTTATCAATTAATTTTCTTAATGTGATTTTTCTACTTATCTTGCGTTACTTAAATAATTAATTTTCTTAATCATTCGTTACTTAAATAAGTCTTTCTGTATGATAAGGATTTATTTAGGTAATGAAAAATAAATAAGAGGGTCACATCAAGAGTATTAATTGATAGAGGGCCAAATTAATAAGATGACGAAAATAGAAGGACTTTTGAGCTTATTAACCCAACTTCTTAGACGAGAACTTGGTAAAAAAAAAAAGGGCCCAGCCGCGGTGGGCCCACAGCATGCAGCAACTCGGTGGTCTCTTCTCTTATAGAAAAGCTGAGGCCGTTATCTTCCCGCGTCTCGGAACATTTTCTATTCCTCCTCCTACTGGAAACTTCAACTTTAATGGCCTCGATTTCAGCTGTTGGAGTTCCGCTCCAGTCGCCGTTGTCATCCATTGGAAGAGCTTCAACATACGCAGTATGTCGTCGTATTTCTATTTATTTATCCTTCTAATTTCACTTGAATTTAAAATTCACGATTAAATTGTTGTCTCAGAGATGTAGCAGACCGATAGCTACTCTATCTTTTCATCAACCAGGTAAATTCTCCAATTTAAATTAAAAATATGATTTTATAGAAGCTTTTCCACTTAGAATTTCGATGGAAAAATTGAAAAACCCTCACTCAATTTTTTATGCAATTTGAGTTGTAGATTTTTGTATAAAAAAATGTGCTGGAGTCATTGAGAGAAGAGAAGTTATAATGTTATCTGTTGGGTTTCTGGCCGGAGCAGCTCTGCAGCATTCTTCTTCAAATAAAGATGCAGCTATGGCAGCCGAATTCGCTGACAGTAATCTCATAATGTCCCTTCTTTTCTTGCCTGTGTGTGTCAACTGTCATAGGTTTTTGTGAGAGAGGCTGTCGTATTATTTGTCTTTCTGATTTATTATGGCCAAATTAAAACCTTGCTTCCCAGCTGATGTTTGTCTAAAAACTGCCGGAGTGTTTGTTAACTGCATGCCAATCTTCATGAGTTTGGTTTCTCACTTGCTTATCACTGGACAGTTGAGAGTTGTTACTAACAATGAACTGTTCACTAAGCTATCCTTTTCTTCGCTATGTTTTAGACTACTGCCTTCCCACTTCCTCATGTAGCGAGAGAATCCAATTGTTCGCATTCTAATCTAAGAACATTTTGTGCATCAAAGTTTACACCATATGTTTTTGCTTGTTTTAGTACTTTAAACCTTGTTGGTGTATATAGTTAATAAAAGAGACTGTTATCCAATTTGTTTTCAAGGCTTAAACCTGCAATAATATGGATATGAGCAAAGTTTTAAAACCGTGTAGTGTGACTGGGATGGCAGAGTAATGCGATATTGTTGCAATCAACAAGCAAAAAGAATAGACATATAACAGCTGTAATAGACTTACTCTTGGCCATATTTTTATGGACATGCAGTGCCAGCTCTCAGAGGGAAGGATTATGGCAAAACAAAAATGCGGTATCCAGACTACACAGAAACAGAATCAGGTCTTCAGTATAAGGTCATTTAGTGGACAGTAAATGTTTCTAACTTTTCCTTTTATATTTGTACATGTACTGTCATGGTTAGTTTAGTTATGTGGTTAAATTAATTCTAAAATGAGGAGTGCAGGACTTGCGAGCGGGAAATGGTCCCTTACCTAAGATAGGAGAGAAAGTTGTGGTAAGTTTTTTAGTCATTATGCAAGAATTTACACTTTGGCATAATTTTCTTAGTCAGCCTAATTTGAATCCAAGTAATTGTGCAATAGACATTTGGATTACAAATGATTTAGTTTCTTCATAGTCTGAATGAAGCATGGGAGATTTAAAGATTTATAAAGTTTGGAGTGCATGGAAAGTTTCCAAAACAGCAAGCAAAGAGGCTCCAATCCTCTGTTGCTGAAGCCAAAGCAGATATTTATCAAAAGTTGTCCTTCCTCAAATTTACAATGCTCTAATGATAGTTAAATAGCTAAACTACTGCAAATTTAGCAGTTCACATGAATTATAGTTCAACCAACTATGATGCTGATAAGTTTGAACTATTAGATGAATTACTCAATGATGATAAAGAATGCAAGTTAACTTATCAAATTTGTTTGTTTTCTTTTCTAATTGGTGTGGCGAAAGTTATGAAATATGAATTCGATTTAGGTTGATTGGGATGGTTACACCATAGGATACTATGGCCGCATATTTGAAGCTCGAAACAAGACAAAAGGTGGTTCCTTTGAGGTATGGGATGCTTTGCTCCTAATTCTGGGGTCAAGAACTTGATTAGCTTCATCAATGTTCTGTGACTTCTTGATCTGCAGGGAGATGACAAGGACTTCTTGAAATTCAGGCTAGGATCCAGAGAGGTAGCATATCATTTATCATTTGAATAATTAAACAAATTCATTCTTATAGATTAAATTTAATGGATTTGAGAGTGGACATCTGTCTTCATAATGTATCACTTTCAAATTTATTCAGAACTTTCTGCTCCAAGTGCTTATCTAGGTTCACTTGTACGCCTGTCTCTGATCTCACTTTTTTCAAAGTACCTGCTAATAGTTAGTCCTTTACATTCATGGGTCTAGACCATTTAATTGGGCAATGCTGCTGCATTAGATGTTTCAAATGGAAAGTTATGGACTTTTTCATCAAATTCAATCCTGACACCCACTCCACATGCTTACTTAGTAGCATTTAGCTTTAAAATAGAATATTTTAATGAGATTGGCTGGTTCTTGAGCATTCAGGTTATACCTGCTTTTGAAGAAGCTGTTTCAAGCATGGCTTTGGGTGGCATTAGAAGGTGCTGCATCTTCTGTTCTCAAGCATATATCCTTTGTTATGTTTGAAGTTCTCTATTACAGAAATCTTCCATGAATAAAATATAATAACAATTTCAATCCAGCAAATTTCACAGTTTGCTTCACAGCGATGCAGGATCATTGTGCCCCCAGAACTAGGATATCCTGAGAATGACTACAACAAGAGTGGCCCAAAACCAACAACATTTTCGGTAATGCTCAAGTAAAATTGCTAGCGCTTCAGCTTGTATTGCAGTTATATATGATTCCATAATGAGAAATAATTGTGTTTGACAGGGTCAACGAGCCTTGGATTTTGTGCTGAGGAACCAAGGGCTGATAGACAAAACTTTGCTGTTTGATATTGAGCTCCTTAAAATCATCCCAAGCTAACTCCAAACAGATTCCTCTGCAGGCTGTACGTACGTCACTATTGCCGTCAAACCCTTGGATTAGAATTGTTCTTTTTAGTATTTGAGAACATTTGGGTTACAGATTTGTTCTTTTGAGTATTTGAGGTAGAGGTCTATAATTTCCTTGTGTAACGAGTCAAAAAGTTTTTTCTGCTCCAGGCGCGAGAGGAGGATTGGCGTTCGAACAATCCAATTTAGAGAGCACCACGCTTCCTCCCACTTGGGGAACTGGTTCACGAGGCTACTGAATGCTCATTTATTAATTTATATAATATTTCACTGTATCCACACCAAAATCTGAAAGTAAGTTTTTTTGAATTTGACCTTGTTCCTCTACAAGGTTCTTTTTGTATCTGGTTTTTGATAGTACCATAACATTGCCAAAGGAAGCGAATAAGGATGAATCTTCATCGTTTGATTTCTTGTGCTTGAATGGGAAATTCCAGGACATCAATATCTGCGTAACCACAAATGTTAAAAACTACGACTGAATTAATGAATGCTTTACTAATGTTGGAATATTTGATTGTCAAATGTTTTACACTTTCTTGATGTTGTAATTGAGAGGATGAAATTTCCACTTGCTTTGCGTTGCTACTTGTCATCGAACACGGTAGGTCTAGTAGCCAAACTAAGCAAAGGCTAATTTTGTGGTGTCACTCATTGCAACAGTGCTAAATTCAAAGACGATGCACATCCAGAGCGATCGCTGACCTATTTCACCGCTTATAATAAACTCAACTGGATTACGAACATAACATAGGTCTAGAACCCAAGTTCGGGCGGCTAAACTCAAACAAAACCTTGCAACAACCTACAGTAATCACCGGAACCACAAATAAACAAAAAGCACAGATAGCAAAAATTCATTCTACGGGAATTTAAATTGTTCTCCCAACATCCACAAAGTTGTTCCCCTAATTAACTGAAAGCTCACGCCGCTTGTATCGCACCATTACCTTGTCTTTTACACCAACGACCATTGCATTCCAGTCTATCTCAGGGAAAGGAGATACGAGCTCCAATTCAAAATTCCTCAGCAAATGGCTCCATATAGCCTTTATCTGCAAGTAAGCAAATGGTTCACCAAGGCACCCATGCCTGCCACCTCCGAAAGAAATATATGAAAATGCCCCTGCTGCTTTGTCTTCTTCTCTCCCAGCAGCAAATCTGTCAGGATCATACCTATCTGGGTCCTTGAAGACATGAGGAAGCCGGTTAGCAAATGCCGGAGATGTTGCAACAATGTGGCCCTTTGGGATGTCATATTCTTTCCCATCTCGTGTTGTCACACTGAAGTCACTGTGTGAGCTGCGTAGAAGCATAATTAGTGGAGGATGGAGTCTAAGGGCTTCCTTGATGCACCGATACAACACGTCCATCTCAGATAAAATATCATGATCAACCTTGTTCCCATGCTTTTTCATCAGGTTCTTCTGCTCCTCCAACACAGCAGATAGGTATTCATTGTGTCGCAGAAGATAGGCTCCAGTCCAAGTGGAGGTGATGGAACTGGTGTGCTGCCCAGCAAAGAGAGCAGCAATGAGCAAGCCAGTGACCTCAGACTCAGTTGTTTGGCGACCATCTTTATACTTCGAGTCAATGAAGCACTGCAACATGTCATTCTCCGACTTGCCAGCAAGCTTACGGGACTTTATGATATTTGCAAAGATAGCTGCAAGCTTTTTGCGTGCCTGATCACGGCGACGATGAGCTGGGATGGGTAAGTATGGGAATAAAACACTAATTGGGAGCATTCCATTATCAAGGTCATGGAATAGAGCAGACACATCAGCAAAAAGCCTATCACGAACTTCTCGTCCAAGTAGACATCTACTAGCTGTCAAAATGATCAGATGCTCAAGTTCATACTTTATGTCTACCACCCCACTGCCTCCCCATTTTGAGAAGTAATTCTGCCAGTTTCAAAATGACAATAAAATGATTAGAACCATTAATTCCTTACATCATGATTATTCTGGAAATTATACAAAGGTAACAATCCAATGTAATGAACAAAACCAGTAATGGATGATCATTCTCCAGAATGATAGCTGGAAGCATGGCCATCAATCAGACTTAAATTTGAAACCCAAAATAACTACTCGTACTTAAATAGCCAACATCAAAGAAACGGGTTGTCAATGAAACTCGGACACACAAGAATTGATAGCATAGAAAGTAAAACGGTAATAAACAGCAGAAACAGCTGACTGATCAGTAAACTTGCTCACCTCTGCTTCTACCACCATCTGATCCACGTATCCCTTGAGTTTGTTCACTCTTAAAGACTCTGTAAAGAACCGAAACTGCTCTTGCCTTATAGAGTAATCCACATCAAACACAACACCAGGACCAAAAGTAGGCACATTGAACTGATACACCTCCTGCTGGCTCAAATCCGCTTCCGAAGCCTTGAAGAAGTGCGCAGACACCTCAGGGCCAATCAAGAAAGTAATCTTCCTATTAACTAAATTCACTGTAAACACACTGCCAAGTTTTGGGTACTCTTCGCGAAGCATCACGATGGGTCCTTTAAGGAACCGGATGAGCCCTCCAACCAAAGGCCATCCCTTCATAACAGGAGGCAAGCGCTTTTGAGATCTCGGCATTATAAGTGCAGAGATAAGCTTGGCCACTAGTAGAGTGGCCACAATGAGTAGACCCACATTCAAGAACTTGTTATCCGTATCTCCAGTCATTGTAAAGCCAATAGATTTATAATCTGATTTAATTAACTGAAAATCCGAACAAGAAACAGAAACATCAGATAAATAATACGCACATCGCATAAAACAGCTTAAACCCAATATTTGTTTCAAAAAGTTAAAAGTAAAAGCAGATCTAAAAGTTCCATCTTTAGTTAACATTGAAATCAAATAAAAGGAAAGGAAATTCCCAAAATCAGGCCATTTCACAGTACCAATCTCTGCTCTGTTTGGTAGCTGAGAAAGCAAGAAAGAACAGGAAATAACTTTGAACAGAAAAGCTTAAAAAAATAAAAAAAAATTAGAGTCCCAAACTGGAAATCTCCAGTCAGGGATAACCCAGTATCCAGCACTGCATGCAGGCGTAGAAAAAAAGAAAATGCAGTATCATCCACAAATTTACAGAGTTAACATCCATCAGAAAGTAATGAATTATTGACACTAGAGAGATGACTACAAGATTCATGAATTAGACCCTTCTATTAAGAAACAGTACCTGATTTCAGATGGAAAAGGAAAGGACTGGCAGAGAAAAAGATATCAAAGGATCATCTGGATTTCAGAATCGGACATATGCATAAATGGGAGGCAAAGTGTGTTCTTTTTTTCACCCTTTCTCGTGCGTTTTAAAAAAGCATCAGTAGCGAGAGAAGAGCATGGTAGTTTTATAAAAGGCGTGTGGGCTCAGGATTTTATGAGAGTTAATCATGATGGGTTAAGTTAAGGAGGGTGAGTTAACAAGGATCCTGGTTAGGAGTTACATTGGGCTCATTGGATATGGAAAACAAAACTGTGGATGTCGTTGCGCTGTGTTGTCCAGGTGGTTTTGTCGTGAAGGTGGTGTTTTTCTTTTTAATGGTGGAGGAATTTGGAAAAATCTCCATTAACACGTGCCAAGTTGGAGACAGACAAAACACGCTTATCTGGACTTGATTATTTTGTACCGGTCGACCTTTTGCTTTCGGATTCAGAATGGAAGGTCTTCGAGGTCCAATGAATTATAATTCTCCAATTTAGTAGTTACTAGTGGCATACACTCACTACGCTGCTTCAAACGATTTTCGAGCGATTTATAAAAGTGCTTAATTAATTTTTTTTATTTGTTTGTTTAGTTGTTGTTTTTTTAACAAAAGAAATTTGTTATTGGAGAATAATATTTTATTATTATTTTAACATTGATAAAGGTGCATAGAAAAAAAAAACAATGAAAGCTCATAATAGATGGGGTATGGGATAATTAGTAAAAAATGGTTTGGTAGATGTTCAAGACGATGCTCATGTGAGTATATCTATCACATTTGCTCATTAGCTTGATTGATTTGTTGTGCAGTATTGTTATCTACATTGCATACATGAGTTGTAATGAAGTGATGATTAGTTATTTTTCTAAAAAAAATAATTACGTTTGATGCAATATATTTTAAGTTGATTAAATGAATTGAGCAATAGTTGTTGCACAGTGCCTTTTTTAATATATTCATAATCAATAACCAATTGTTTGCATGTGTATTCGAAGCTTGAGGTAGCAACATTCCTAGTGAGAAGCAGTTTAGCTTCAACCGTGGCATCTTGGATGACACAAGCGATTCATTATCTATGTAAGATGAAAAAGGATTGATCAAGATGTCGTAACATAACTGTTATGAATTTGTATTGATCATGTAAAAAAGCTAAGTGGAAAGCAACGACGTTCGTAATAAAACAAATATAGATTAAATTTTTGACAGTGCTTATTGTGGAGTAAGGCCTTGGTCGAGCTTTTCATAGATTGCTTATAAATGCATATATGTTATTTTTTATGCAAGGCGATTGCATTGTGAACATGCGAAATACCATCATCTAAAAGTTGTGTCAATATGGATGATTCTGGCTTAATTGTGTAACAAATGGTCTAGAAAGAAATGATGATGAGATAAATTAGAATTTATCTTGTTGGGAAGAAAATTCGAGCGGAAGGTGCATGTGTAAAATATTTTGTGGAAAGCGACGAAGAGTTATACCAACTTTTGCATTGTCAATCGTTGGTTGAAGCAAATGTTCGATTGTTGTCCTATTTTTTATTTGTAAGCTTCGGCATCCATGGACTGAGCTAAAAAGCTCTAAGTTAGAAATTGAACATTTTTTTTAATAAAAGAATGGATGAAAAAGGAATTCAGAAAATGAAGAAAAGAATCATACAAACTATGTGGCTTTTGTTTGTTTAGGATGGAAGAGCACAACAACAAGTTTTGACATTTGAAATATGATATGGTAGGTGCACATTTAAAGGTTTTAAATTGGCTCCGTATAAAAATTAGGTTTTTATCATGTGACGAGTCGTTTCAAATATTCAACTTTGAAAAAAATGGTCGTTTATTTGATCATGTTTAAAATCATCAAAACATCGAATGGTATGTGATAATTTTTTTTTTTCATTTGCTTGTCTACAAAAAATGACATAGTTAAATAACATTAATATGAAAGAAAGTTAAAGATGTTGAGTTGGCATTTGTAGTGTAGTTGAATTCATTAAATGTAAGAGATATGTAGCTGGAAAGTCTTTTCAATACAAGAGCTATATGCCTATGGTAGGAAAAATGATTTCAATTATGAAATAATGAACTATAGTGATGGGTTGAACAAATTATCTGAGGGAGGTAAAAATTAATTCCAAAGTAGTATAGGTGTCGACAAAACAATTCATGCTAAGGTAAATGACCATTATGACCGTTGGTATTTATACATACATCAATGTATAAGTGTTTGATAAATAGGAACATGAAAGAACTAGATGAAAATAAAAATAGATGAATAGCACAACAAATATTTTCCATATTACTCGGATGGAATGAAACACATATATATGGATTCAACAAACATGATTGAAGCATCCGGAAAGTCTATTATAAACTAAATAAAGGTAATACAAAGAATTCTTCGACATAAGATCATTTAATAGGTATCGTGTTTCCAAAAGCAATGCAAAAGGCATTTTTTTTTTACAATAGTAATTCAACAAAAACATGTTCTTTTAAGTTATATACCAAAAGCACTAGGCAGCATAGGTGCGTTGCATTGATTGAATCCTTGTACATTCAAAAAAGGTACGGAGGAATCAAAAGTGGTGTAAACACCTTACTTTATACATGCCCTACTCTATCTATGGTTGTTCATATGTTCCTTCTTTGTCGACCTCCAACACAAATTAATTTAATTTGAATAGAATAATGGAGGACATAAAATGTATATGTATACAATTTGTTTAGCATAGCTCATCTTTTGTTTTTCACGAGCAGGTGGTGGTTTTTTTGGCAATTTGCTCCTCAGCAATCCGCTTGCCACGATCTAGCATAAGCTTAAGTGTTTCGATGTCGAGTTAGATTCGGATGTAGAGATAGTGATCTTGGGGGATAAGAGATTAGGTGCCACAAAAATGAAATATTAAGAGTGGGCTAGTGCAAAGATTAAATATTTATAAGTCTATCTTATTAAGATTATGAAGGCTCTTTTCACCTATTTTTATTATAATGGTGTTCGTTTAATAGGAAAACATATTGAGATAAAATTTGATAGAATAAGTATATTTTAAAGCAAACCTTAGGCTATCATGAGGATCTTTTGTTGAGTGATCCAATTTACGCTTTGTTTGTGGGGCAAATGGCCTACAAATCGAAGATTTTGCTAGTCGACCAATAGCTGTAGGAGTGGATGAATCTATAAGGGCTTCGAGCTTCTTTGTTGATCGGAGTGTGGTTCAATAAATAGCTATAGTTGATTAAGTTGAAGCGAATTGGAACCGATTGATTGAAATACAAGAGGTTCATTGACAACCTATTTTATGAGCGTCAATTTGTCAATCTCGGCATTACAGTCACTTCAAAAACAACATTCACCAATATATCGCACCTATTGTTCATTTACATGAACATGCCAAAATGAATATGAAAGACTTGGTATTTCATCAATTTTTTGACCATAGGTGGTGGAATCTTATAAGGGTCGTTGAATCCTCTTTCGACAACATAGTAATGTGCAAATGCCCCAAAAAATTCCGAGCACATATTCCAATTATTATAAAATTGGTAACTTCAACTCCATCAAATATTATGCAATCAATTTGAATCTAGATGTAGTAGATATCGGTTAGTAAAATAATGATTCATAGTCCGACTTGAGGTAATAGAGCAACTAATCTGTGAAGATTTGATAAATAGGAATGCAAAAAAGAATAAATAATTAATAGATACGGAGGCTCATGCATAGATTAAAAAACATAAAGGAAGAGGAAGGTGAAAAAAAAAAAAAAGCCATTCAAGCTTGGCTTTGTTTGACGGCCAACTTAATTTCCTACGTTATGTAATCATGATTTTGTTTTTTTGTTTCATATCTAATCCCTCATAACTCATAAGTTCGTCATGCTTATGTTTTAGTGAACGAACACCTCCATAAAAGGAGTAAAATTTGTTTAGATTTGACTTTAGAGTTCATAATCACAAATTGATTAATGACTTATGATTGAGAGAGGGAAAGGTAACATTAACCCATACGACATTTTTTTCTTAATGGGTCTATTTTTGCAATGACTTTTTTGAAGTTCATGTCCATTTTTCGAGGCAACTTTTGATTCCATATTTGCATGCTCGATAAGATAAATCATGTTCGAAAAAACTAATAGACTTCAACAAGTAAACGAGAGAATGGTAGTGTAATTTTCAAATCCGACCCCGAATTTCTCAAGAAATAAGGTGGTGTATTTATTGTACATACATTCTCATTAATCATTAAACAAAATTCATCAAATCTTAAACATTGATTGTTGATCACCGAATAACCATCATCAAATTCATCGAGTCGGTAGTTTTTTTTTTTGTTTTTCTTTCTTTCGTTTTCTTTCTTTTCAATCCGAAATTGATTGTTGATCACTTAAACATTGTTAGCTACCGTTTTGAATTTATATGGCTGGTTCATAATCGAAAATGAGATGTTTGTTTAAATTGCATGAATAAAATGAAGTCAGGATTCGGGAAAATAAAAAATAGAGAGAGAAACACGAAGAACGAGAGAGAGAGGCGATATGAACATGAGAGAGAAAGCATCCGAGGGCT